AAAGCGTCCCTGGTGATTATGATGTTCTCCTACCATTGAGAACACTAAATTTTTTCTCATTTCCACCATCACTGCTTCGGGTTAGGCCTGTAGAGTTTCCTGTAGCTGCCACAACAAATTACCACCAACATGGTGGCTTAAAATACTGATTTATTCTCTCACTGTTTTGGGGGCCTCATGTCTGGAATTCAGGTGTTGGTAGGACCGTGCTGCCTCTGATGGCCTTAGGGGAGGAGCCTTCTTTGCCTCCTCCTGCCCTGATGGCTCCAGGCATTCCTTGGCTTGTGACTGCCAACTCCAGTCTCTGCCTCCATCTTCACACAGTTTTCTCCTCCCTCTCCCTGTGTGTGTCTCCACTGTGTGTGTCTCATAAAGACATTTGTCCTTGGATTTAAGACCCACCTGTAATCCAGGATGGTCTCATTCCGGGATCCGTCTTTTAACTGCATCTGCAAAGACTATTTTTTCCAGGGAAGGTCACATTCACATTTCTGGGACATGAACATTAGTCTTTTTGGAGGCTACTATTCAAGTTACTGTACTGCTCCTGTGGCTATGATAGCTCGCCCCACCTGATCATCGGGACGCTAATAGTCTGCACTGGGCTGGAGCTACTTTATACAGCAGTCTTTGAATACTGTTGTTCAACAGTCATCTATCTATCCTATATAATAAAGAGGTAATATGCAAATTGACCCTTACTCTGTCACACCGTCACAAGATGGCTGCACCCACAGCGGAGGAAGGGTTCCCATAACACAAGATGGCTACACCCACAGCAGAGGCGGGGTTCCCAAAATGAGCCATAACGAGTGATGAGCAGGGACCTGAGGCGGTGTGGCGCTGGGTTGGGACGGGGGATACTCACACCCCCCACCCCAGTGCCGGGCCAGGAGACCTGAGGCCACACCCCCGGCCCAGTGGGGCTTGATAGAGGACCTTAGGTCGCGCCCCTTGCCCTGGTGCCATGCTGGAGGACCTGAGGCTGCATCCCCCACCCAGCAGACCTTGACGGAGGACTTGAGGCTGCGCCCCCTTCCCAGCGCCGGGCCAGGGGACCTGAGGCTGCACCCCCTGCCTGGCGGGGCTTGATGGGGGTGGGGCCGGCTGGGTCTGGGTCTTGTGTGATTTTGAGGTGAACATGGGTGGGCGGGGACTTGACTCGGTCCTGCTGCATGCCCCAGACTCTGACAGGAGAAAGATTTTCATATACATTTTACTAATTTCATCTCTGACATTTCTATTACCAGGAGCTGCCATGACACACACTTGCCATTTACCGAGAAGCAGCAGTGTGGACCTGGCCGATGTAGCAACACGTGCAACACTCAGCTTCTCCCAAGTGGGACACAGGCCCTGCCACCACCCTGGAGTGACAGCCACCAAATCACAGCCAACACTGCTGAAACCCTATGGCCAGCCTGAAAACGGTTGCTGTGGGTGCTGGGTAATGACGTCATGTAGCAACACCCGACTTCCTGGCTTTCTCTCCCTAGCAACTTTCTCCTTGCAGTTTCTTCAGCCCAGGAACATGACTTGCTTTATAGCCAGGTGGAAACATTTACATTTTAACCAAATATCTGTGAAGTGTTTTCCCATGCCTCATCTCATTTGATACTCACAGAAGTTCTGAAGTAGGTAGATAGGAGACTTAGTGGCATCCTATTTTCTTTTCATTAGCCAGAAAACGGAGATTTAAAAAACTTAGAAACTTGATCCAACTGAAAAGAAGTAAGAAATGGTATACCTTGAAAATAACTGCCCAGAATATAGTCAAGCACTGCTGCAGTTAAATATTTTACCCTTCATTCTCCCTTGGGGATCTACAATAATAATCTGCATTGTGTTGATATTTACTGCTGTGTTGCTGACAGTTACCTGAAAGAGAAGTTGGGGTTCTTCACTCGGCTGGAAAAGTTTAGCTAAATCAGAAAGCAGTTCTAATTAAGCAAGTTTATTCTATTTATATAAAAGGCTAAGTTGACTTATGCATGCGCGATACATATGAAGCTCTTGCTGGTGCCAATCACACATGTGTGTTTTCATCTGTCATTGTCGATCATGAATTTGATTGACACTTCTGTTATAGAGAAAGGGTGAATAGTGATATTAAAATATTTTTTCTAATTTCAATGTGCACAAATTCGTGCACTAGGCCACTAGTTTCATTACAATGTTGATTAGAGGCCTGGTGCATGAAATTCATGTATGGGGGGAGTCCCCTCAGCCCAGCCTGTACCTTCTCTCAACCTGGAACCTCCTTGGGGGATGTTCGACTGCTGCAGGGATCGGGCCTAAACCGGCAGTCCGACATCCCTCTCACAATCCCGGACTGCTGGCTCCTAACCACTTGCCTGCCTGCCGGACATGCCCCTAACTGCTTGCCTGCCTGCCTGATCGCCCCTAACTGCTTGCCTGCCTGCCTGATTGTCCCTAACCGCCTCTGCCTCGGCCCCTGCCACAGTGGCTTTGTCCAGAAGGACATCCGGAATGACATCGGGAAGGTCGTTTGGCTGTCCAGTCTAATTACCATATTACCCTTTTATTATAGATGAGATACCATAGGAACTTAACTTTTGTTTATGTTAATTAGCCTATAGTGAAATTGGTTTCATTATGTGTCATTTTGCTTTTAGTTGCAAAACCTATTTAACAACATTATGTGAGAACTCATTGTATATACAATCATTTTAATCTTACCAGATTCCCCATTCCTCTGAGGGTATGCCCCTTATCATGGAGTACCAGGTGTTATAACCTGGCCCCTTTACTTACCCTCCTTTCCCAATGTTTCCTTTCCTCTTGAACTTTCTGCTCTGGCAGTACTGAATTACCTACAGTCCTCCTTGCCTTTGTAAACACTGTTGCCCTGTACTCCACATTTAGTTTTGTTCAGAGTTCAAGACAGTTCAAGCAGTGTCTCTTAGTAAAGCCTTCCTTACTACTTGTTGCTACTAGTGCATAAAATGATGAATGCACTTACATAAGTGTTTTATTACACTTGGTTTTGTGCCTTTTTTTTGCTTTTAGCGGAGAGTTTTGTAATGACAGGGAAGCTGATGTTCATTGTTGTAGCCCTAGTACTTGGCATTATAAATATTGAATGAATGACCATGTCGTTTATCCTAAGTAGAAACTTGTCTCTTAACTCTGCTTTTTCACTGCTATCTTAGTTATTTCCAATAGCATTTTTCACTGACCTAAATGTACTAAGTAAGTAGTCAGTATAAGTAGACGGGCATATCATTTAACCTGCAATATCTGCATCTGTGCTCAGGCAATTTAAGTTAAAATATCTCTGCATAGCTTAAGGTTGACATTTCTGGTTTTTGTGTTTTTCCCTTTATAATAGGTAAGTAACAGAAACCCATTTGACTTAGCTGAAACTAAACAGAATTTTATGAACAAGGGTCAGAGTATATCTGGGCCAATGGAAGCCCTAAAGGATCGTCTCTCTTCATCTTTGTTTGCCACTTGTCTCTGTTCATCTGCTTCATCCCTCACTTTTCTCTGCTTCTTCATGGACATAACAGATTGTGACATCCCCATAGCTCCCCTGCTTTTATTATACAGCTCTACCCATCCACATAGATGGGCTGGATGTCTGTCTCATTTTTGTGTTTTCCAGGATAAGGATGTCATTGGCCAGCTTGGGCCAGATGTCCACTTCCAGCCAGGGCAGGGCAGAGCGTCCTGGCCCAGCCATTGCATTCACAAAAGGTGTTAGGCCTCACCTTAGGCAGTGAAGGGACAGTGTTGTTGCGAGCAGATCCCTAAAACGTGTGTGCCATACTCTTAATTAGGATAGATCCTTTTGACCAGAGGATAGCTGAGAGGAAGATGCATCAGAAAGCCAGGGAAACGTGTGTGTGTGTGTGTGTGTGTGTGTGTGTGTGTGCAGGAAATCTGACCAGATCTGGTACCAGTTGCCTCTAGGCTACAGTGGTGAAAATTTCCTCTGCATTGTTTAGAGTCCTGGCTTTAATTGATTCATTCTTTTCTCTTAATACAGAATGTTCATCTCGATTTAAGTGATATGGAAAAATATTAAAACAAAGTAGGTTTTTAATGGTTGTTTACTCATGGATATGTTCATTATACTAATCACACATGTTTTAAAAATAATATACACTGTTCTGATCTTGCATCAGAAAAAGGATATGAACAGACTTGAAATAAATTATCTCTGTATTCTAGACACATTTTTATGTAGCTGACATTCCTTTGTGATGGAAATGGTTTTCTCGGCGCCGCGTGTGGGTGACGGCTCGGGTAGGAATAACTTCTGGTGAAAATTAAAATCCATTGTCATACTTTAGCTACCCAGTTGTAAAACATACAAACAAAACCACTTGATTTTAACCTTTACTGTTCTCAGTGGGCCTCATGTCCCCGCTCTGCCATACTGGCCACCATGCCCTTCTTTTGGGTGTGAGTGGACAAGTGGCAAAGGCAAGAGAGTTAAGACAGAGACAAGCCACCAGAGGTGCTGCCCCTGTCTTTGTGGTTTGGGAGGAACCTAGGAGCTGTCATACTAACTCATGTAAATATGACCTTCTTTGGATTCTCTTCTGGAAAAGAATTTCCAAGGGAGAGGTAGAGAATTGTCATGTCAGTGTGGCAACTTGAGACAGCGATTGGAACACACAAAGGCCGGTTAATTTATTTTATTTTATTTTTTTGTTTAAATTCCAGGAATAATTACAAATCAGTTTAATGAAGTGTGATATTTGGGGGTTGGGGGGGATCAGGTAAACTACTTCCTAATTCAGTATTTCAAAGGACAGTGATTACAAATATCAACACCACACTCTTTATCTCCAGCTAACACAGCACAAGTCTGCTGGGGGTGGGGAGGGCTCCTTCAGGTCCTGCTGGAGCCCTCGCAAACACTAAAAAGAACTACGGTCTGCTTATCTGATTTTAGGTAAACCCACCGAGGTAGAGAGGAGCCATCTGTTTTCTTTTTTC